TATGACATTTTTTTTTACTCCTCATTTTCTTTTGATATTTTTGAATTCTTTATTTTAACAATAGACAATTAACTCAGTTTTTGATTTTCTTTATTTCCTTTTTTTTTCAACGGTTAAAAATACCCGACCGCCATTTACGATTACCTTGCAAAGAACCATAGATTTATATACAATTACTAGGTTGCTTAATCAGCTCATATACACGAGATGTCTAATATAAATCTGTATTTGCCATTTGTCAGTCAAATAATAAAAAAATATGTTTGAATGTATGTTTTTAGAATTCTCGGAATTTTTCTAGAACTTTCTGTAGTCTTTATAAGTTAATGAAAATTAGCAAAGCTTAGACTATATATTCTAAATTTTAAGAAAGTTCTATCATATTCTAGAAAATTCTAGGCTTCAGAAAATCATAAATGCATACGAGTCATGGGTGTTCTCTCCTAGAATATTCTTTCTTTAAAATATAAAATGAAATTTAAAGTCGTAGCAAAGTGGTTTGAGGCTAAGTAGGGCAAGAGGTTTTGTGATTCGACCCTGGTTTTAACCCAATAAGCAACCTGGTTATCAAGGAGGCGTGAACTCTTTAATTAAATGTTATTTACCGCTTAAAAAAAGTATTAAATTAAATTTTTTTATTAAACAGGCAACTTTTTTATGTACTTTCTTAATTACCTAATACATTCTGCAAGAAAGTTATTAACACATCTCTATAGTAAGCTGCAAATGTCGTATAACAACTTTTTTAAAATGCTTTTAATTTTTAAATGCTGTATGAACTACTAGCAAAATATTGTGATTAAACAAATTTAAAGGTTTCTTCTAGTAGTATATACACAAACACAAGAAACATATTTAAAATATATTTTTTACTTTTTTTTTAATGCTGTATTATTGCATTGCAAAATACTTTACTTTGCAACTATAGTTTCAAGTTTAAACCTTGAAACAGCTAATACTTAAAAATCTTTAAGTTAACTGCAATTTTCCTACAAGTACAAATAATATATAATCACAATTTAAATCACATTAAATTTTTATCAACTTTAACGTAAAATAGAGTGGTCAATTATAACGTAAAATAGAGTGGGGCAAGTTGAGCAATTAAAATATCTCAAAAACTAGACATTAAATGATAAAATACCAAGTAGATGAAAGTTGGGGAGTTATATGCGCAACAAAAGATTGTTGGAAAGCAGTAGGGGTGTACTGGATTAGATATTTTTAATTCCGGCCGGAACAAGATTTATATTTATGTATTTTTTAACATTCAAGAATGAATGTGAAAAATCTGCACCACAGCATCGTGGCCACTTAATATATATTTATAACCTATAATATATATATATATATATATATATATATATATATATATATATATATATATATATATATATATATATATATATATATATATATATATATATATATGTATATATATATATGTGTATATATATATATATATATATATATATATATATGTATATATATATGTATATATATATATATATATATATATATATATATATATATATATATATATATATATATATATATATATACATATATATATATATATATATATATATATATATATATATATATATATATATATATATGTATATATAAGTATATATATATATATATAAATCTCTCTCTCTCTCTCTCTCTCTATATATATATATATATATATATATATATATATATATATATATATATATATATATATATATATATATATATATATATATATATATATATATATATATATATATATACACATATATATATATATATATATATATATATATATATATATATATATATATATATATATATATATATATATATATATATATATATATATATATGTTATATTAAGATAATAATAAAATAAAATTTGTAACATAACTCAGAGTTTCGCGCTATATGCGATCATCGGACGTTACAAACGTAAGGGCACTTTTTCGATTTTAGATTAAAAAAGAAAAAAAAGTATATTAATTTAAAAAATTAAATTAAATTTTTTTTTTTTTTTTTTGAAATTAATAATTTTTAAATCAGGCAAAAAACAATATTTTTATATTTTATTACACTTTCTTACTATAAAATTTTTTCACTTACGTCATTTAAGTGTATAAAATTAAAAGTATATAAATTATACACACGCTTATTGTTAGTGAAATTTTTATTGGCGATTTACCCGAGTTTCATTCCATGCATATTCATTTATTTGTTGATTGCTCAACTTACCTTACACTATTAACTTACCTAGCTGGGGCAGGTTGAGCAGCAAACTTTATGCAATATCTTTTGAAAAAAATCAAAAATTATCTTTTTTTCTTGACAAATTTTTGGGAAGTTAAATTTTTAAATAGTGAAAAAATTATGTAAACCCGACGCACCGTTTATAAGATTTATTAGATTTAGCAAAAATTGCTTAAATTGCCCCGCTGTACCCTAATATTTATAGTTATCGCTGTTACATTTAAATAGGTTGTTTTTTTTAAATATAATAATAATAATAAAAATTCTCTAAACAATTGAAGTTATATTTTTGTAAACATGATGGTACAATATTTCTTTCTAATCTGTGATTGTTTTCCCATTCAGAAAAATTAGACCTGAACCAGTAAAGATGATGTTGAATGTGAGTTTCTGTACCGAGTTATTTGGTCTATATAGTGTATAAGCCTAAACTGTTACATAAAATCTCTTCTTGCTTGAACTTTGTTGTTGTTAAACCTAATGCTTTTAGTCTATTTTCATATGACCAGCTCTTAAATTGTGAAAATAACTTCATTGTTCTTTTTTTCACTTTTTCTATATCATTAAAATCCTGTCGTAAATAAGGTTGCTATACGGGTATAGCAAACTCAAAAAGCGGTCTCACATAAAAATATGTCAATGCACATTTAGTTAGACTAAATGCTTTTTGCGCTTTTCTCATTGCTAAACTCACTTGATCTTGACCATTTATGGTCGAATAAAATAACAACTCTTAAATCTCTTTCAAATAGTGTTGTGTTTAATGCATTTGCAGGATTTTTTTTTACCTAAATGCATCACTTTACACTTTTTAACATTCAACTTTTTCAACCAGGTATCCATTCATTTTACAAATTCTTTGATGTCATTTCACAATGACTGGTGATCTTGAATATTTTTTATAATTTTTGTTAGAATACTATCATACTACCATATGCGTATTTAGTTTACAATTTAAATTAACAACTGACGGTAGATCATTCACAAAAATCAAGAACTTTAAAGGACCAAGTAAAGAAACTTATAGTTTACCACAAAAAGTTTCAAGCTATATTGACACATTTACCAACTACATCTTTTTTTCTTTCTTATTTTTCAAAAAAAGTACGATCACTTGTATCAAGTTTCAGTATATCAAATAGAACACCCTTGATGCCGTATGCTTCATATTTATTTCAATAGCCAATATTTCAATAGCCTGTGTCTAAGTCTATATAAATCATAAATATCGTCACTCATGGTTGCTATTTAAATGTCTAATGTTTCAAATAATTGAAACATTAGACATTTTGTGTCATGCATTGTGTTAGTAAGTTCACACTTACTTAACTTTGTATTGGTTCCTACTTGATAAAATTTGTTTCGGCTGTTTTAGAACTCCGTTGTTTTCTACGTGGATCATGTAGAAAAACATTCATTTTTTCAAAAAAAAAAAAATTTTTTTTTTTTTTTTTTTAATATATCATTTGAAGCAAAACTTACCATTCTTCCAGAAAATACATACATTTTACATAAAATACTTACTAATATTTTTCTATTGATCAGTTTATTTTTTTTAATCTGATGGAAAGTTTGTTCATTAAAAAAATGAAATCAAGAAATAGTTCTATATATTTTTTCAATTTATTTTTACCTCAGATTTTGTTGAAATTTACTCAAAATATAGTTTAGTTTTAATTTTTTAATGAAATTCTGAGTTTCATCAATCGTCAAAAATATTTATGAACCGTCGCAATTTTTCTTTGGAAAAATTTTTTTTTTATACGACCCACCATCTGGATCCTGCATAAATTTAAAAATCATTTGTCGTTTTATATGTTTTTGAAGTTTTTCATTACGCAATTCTCTAATATTTTAACCTTTATTCCGTTACTTACTGTGGAGCCATTCTTCATACTATGGGTGGGTTTATCGCAGAATGCCGATAGCTTTTGCGGTACCAATATATATCGAAAAATCCTCGTTTTTACGAGGCCAATAAATTGTCATCGTGCATTGTTATTAAATGTTAATAATGTTGCAACTTATTTTAAGATTTTTGCGAGATAAAAAGATTTTTTTTTAATTTGAAATCAGTTTAAAAAGTATTTATTTGAAAACTTTGTTTTACCATCACAACCAAACTAGTTCTATTTGTTTTTATAAAATTTTATTTATGAGGTTTTAACGTATAAACGTAATGAATTAATTTTTCATTTATCGTATTACAGAAAAAATATTTCCTTAAAGCAAAAATAAAGCAAAACTATTTTATAATTCTTCAAAATTAAAAAACAGGGGAGCTAAAAATGTATATATATATATATGTGTAAAGATATATATATATATATATATACATATATATATATATATATATATATATATATATATATATATATATATATATATATATATATATATATATATATATATATATATATATATATACATATATATATATATATATATATATATATATATATATATATATATATATATATATATATATATATATATATATATATACATATATATATAAATATATATATATATATATATATATATATATATATATATATATATATATATATATATATATTTATATATATATATATATATATATATATATAATTTAATTTAATTTCAGTAAAGAGTAAGTAATGAATAAAAAATAATGACCGCAAAATTAACAAACAAAACTAAAACAGTCAAAGATGTTTAAAATTTATTTTATAATAAATTTACAAATGGGAATCTCATACATCTGTTTTATGTAAAAATTTGAAAAAATTACTTATCTACAAAATTTTTTAAAAATTGCTAATCACAACCTTTTTACTGCAACTATGAGCAACAAACAATATTCGATTAATTCATAATTACAATAATAAGGATTTTTGCACCCACTTCTTTAACCCCGTAACTCACAATTTCTGTGCATTCACAAATAAATATAGTTAAATAAAATCGGTATTGTAAATTTTACCAAATAAATTTAAATTTAAAAAAAAAAATTTTTTTTGAAAAAAATATTTTAATTTCAAGGAGCTTACAAAATCCTAAAAACTTTAATTTATTGTTTATCTACAAATAAACCACACACTTTCAATTCGGAACATTTTTGCTTTGATATAACATTAGGTATATTTTTAGATATGTTTACTTCAACTATATTATTTCGTGTGGTGTGCCCGTAAATAAGCATTGTGTTAGAGTCGTAAGCAAACACATCTAGCAAATGAATCGGAAGAACTAAAAATAAAATTTTAAAATTTACTTCCAATTTTTTTTGTAATTTTTACTAGAAAAAAATAATGCTTACACTTGATTATTCCTGATGATACTTCACGCTGGTAACATGGAGATGGTTGTCTAAAAATTTATTTGTTTAGATTAACATGGAGAATAAAAACAACTACCAAAATGTTAAAACAATCATCTATAGATTTTAATATTAAATTTGTAATTGCTGATATAATATATGTATTATATAAATTATATAATAAATATATATAATAAATATATTATTAAATAAACGGATGTTGACTTTTTTGGTAAGTTTTTATCTCCAGTTTCCTGTATTAAAAAAAAGATGAACTTTGGTTTGAAAGTAACTAAACTTCATTGCTTTTATTTTTATTTTTTTGAAAAAAGTCACCCATCATGACCGATATATGGGAGCCAGTGTGTAATCAAGGGTCATGGTCGGTGACCTTTTTCAAAAATTAAATAAGACCAATGATTTTTCAGTTACTTTCAAACCAAAGTTCATCTGTTTTTATTAGAGGAAAAAATACTTGAAAATATAACTTACAAGAATAACTTTTATACGTGGTATCATTTTATATATTTTTAAACTGATTTTGTATTCTAGTTTATCAATTCTTTAGAAATTTTTACATTAAACTAAATTGAATGGTAAACTTTTTTATATATCTTATATTCTATTTCATGGCTCTAATTTCATTGCGTAAATAAATACTTATACTATTTTACTCGTTTGATTTTTAGTTCTGTTATTTGTATATTAAAAAGAAATAAAGCTAAAAAAAGATTAAAAAACTAAATTTGTATGCATTATGAAAAATATAAAATGCATTTTTATATTACTTCAATAAATTGGCTGTATTTTTTATCATTTAAATATTAAAACTATTAAATTAATCGCAAGAAAATTTAAAGTCTAGTTACAAATAACGAATATATGTAAAGTAAAATAAAATTCAACGACCCTAGATTCAGTTTGAACTATTGCGTAGTTTAAACAGGCCTACTTAATATGTGTACAATGTCAAAAATTGGAGGCTAATATAGTTAAATCTCCAAATTTTATAAAAGTTATATTTTGTCAAAGTTTTTAAAGTATTTAATTATATTTTTCTAAACCATGAGTTTTAAACGATTGGTTGCAAACTGCAATAGAAATTATGACAAAAGTTCCAAGGAGAAAACTTTTCTTAATTTTTGCGAATACCAGATGAAAAAAAAATATGGCTGGAAGCCATACCCAGAAAAATTACATCATCATTAGAAAGACATTATAAATTGCAAAAAAAAACTCGCTTGTTGACACGTTTAAAACAAAAAATTATGGAGAAGTAGGACTTATATATATTTGTTATTCTTGTTATTATTTGTTTTTACAAACAAGTTTCATACCTGAACATCTGTCTCAGAAATAATTAAAGATCTCATTAAAATACAAGAAACGTTCAACCTGAGAAGTATCTGCTCTCTTCTATAACTATTTAATGATTTCAAACAAAAAAATTGTAAAAAAAAAAGAGAGAATCGAAGATATATATAAAAGAAAAGATTTTTTTGAAACTTTTTAGTAGTTACTAAAGTTTTAATTTTTTATTTGACAAAGTTTTTTTTATTATGTTGCAGTGTCATATAACAGTTTTTAAAAATCGTTTAATAATCAAGGCCGGATGAAAGGTATTGGGTTCAAAAAACTATTTTGGGACCCATTCTTAAAAAATTTATATAAAATTAAATATAGCAAAACAAGGAACTTACTGTATTATTCATAAAGAAATTTTTTCTTGTTTTCACATTGGCAGTCTCAATTACGACATCTTTATTCATCAATTGTTATTGGAAAGTTTAAAGTCTAGTTATAAATAACGAATATATACAAAGTAAAATAAAATTCAACGACCCTAGATTCAGTTAGAACTTTTGCGTAGTTTAAACAGGTCTACTTAATATGTGTACAATGTCAAAAATTGGAGGCAAATATAGTTATATCTCCAAATTTTATAAAAGTTTTATTTTATCAAACATTTTAAAGCATTTAATTATATTTCTTTAAAACATAAGTTTTGAACGATTGGTTGCAAATTGCAACGAAAATTATAGCAAAGATTTCAACGAGAAAACTTTTCATTATATTTGCAAACACCAGAAGAAAAAAAATGTGACTAGAAGCTATACCAAGAATAATTATATCATGATAAGAAAGACATAATTAACTGCGAAAAGCATTCGCTTGTTGACACGCTTAAAACAAAAAATTATGGAAAAGTAGGACTTTGTTATTCTTTGCGTTTACAACCAAGTTTCATACCTGAACATCTGGTTGTCTCAGAAATAATTAAAGATCTCATTAAAATACAAGGAGCGTTCAACCTGAGAAGTCTCTTGTTGAACTTCTCTCTCTTCTATAACTATTAAATGATCTCAAAAAAAACCACAAAAAAACAAACAAACAAACTAGAAACTAGAAATTTAATTTAGTATATTGTTATTATATGTTATTAATATATTGTTAAATACTATTGTTATTCATATTATATGTTATTAATATGTTGTTAAATACTAAAATAGGAAATCAAGAACTAATTTAATTAATAAAGTTCTTTCATAACGAAGATGTTTCATAACAATTGATAGAAGAAATATTACCTAACAAATAACAATAAAAGTTAAATAACAACAAAAGTTAAATCAACAAATAAGTAAAAACATGAGGATATATATAAAGAAATGAAGATATATTTAAAGAAAAGGTTATTTTTAACTTTTCAGTAGTTGCTAAAGTTTTAATTTTTGACAAAGTTTAATTTGGCAAAACTTTAATTTCACAAAGTTTTTGTTAGTATGTTGCAGTATCGTTCAACAGTTTTTATTAATCGGTTAATAATCAAGGCCCGGTTAATGGTCTTGGGGGCCGAATGCAAAAACTATATGGGGCCGATTCCTAAAAAACTACATATAAAATTAAATCTGGCAAAAAATGAAATTACTGTTTTATTTATAAAGAATTTTTATCTTGTTTTCACATTTTTTTCAGTTACGACATCTTTAATCATAAATTGTTATTGAAAAAAGAGTATTTAAACGAGCATTTAACTAAGAGGAACGGAGATCAGTCTTAACTTTTGCGATACATTAAAATGTTTTTTTTTTTTGCACTACAATTGGTAAAGGGATAAGTTAGAAAAATCCGATATAAAATAACTACATTTGTTGGAAAATCTGATTCTAATTTGTTTCTTCGTATTGCTTACATTATATAGTGCTGATATATCACTTTCATTTTCGATAAAATTGAAGAACTGAAAAATTTTATTATGGAATTGTTAACCTGTGTTTAAAAAATAAATAGTACACAAGAACTTGGTAGCAGAAACAATAAAAAGAACGGTCATATTTGGAAAACTAATTAAAAAAACAAACTTTTCTCTTTTAAAAAAATTTTTCTATGTAAGTTACATTAAAAACTTAAAAGTAAAAATACACATATGACGTAAAATAACTGGAAATGCTAAAATCAACTTCAAATATTATTTTTTGGATCTTTTAGTTATTTTAATTAAAATGCGTACCTTTTTATCTTGTTCAGTCATACTTTTTGCGTATCAAAAAGGTGGACATTAGTGCTGAGATCCCATTTTTTGGGGGCAGAGCACAACTACAACCATGCGCCCAGGTAAATATGGCTTTGGTAATAATATAGTTGATTTGTTACTTGCACTTCTTTGAATTTTTATGGTGAATAATTGTTTAGTGGAACCATTTTTAAATTAAACGCTTTTGGTACGTTTAATCATAAAATTTTTTTTTCTGAACGAACGAGTTTTTTTTCAAGCTTTTTAAGCGAGATTTTCGAGCGAGTAACTGCTTTTTAATTAGAAAATTAAAAAGCAGTTTAGTTGTTTAGTAGTTAGTGTTGTCTAATAACAAATAATACATGTATATATATATATATATATATATATATATATATATATATATATATATATATATATATATATATATATATATATATATATATATATATATATATATATATTCATTTTTGTTAATCAATGCAACATTGTGGCCTTTTATAAATCTTTCTATACTTTTTGCACAGCTAATAATTTGTGCAATTTATTAGAGTGAGGGATATCTTTGTCTATTAATTTTAAAAAAGTTTTTTCAATATTTGTTAAAACATTTATTTCTTACTTTTTTTGCAATTTTTGTTTTAAATTTTAGCTCGGAATTTTTTAATCTTCTTTTTTTAAAAGCATCTTTATACATACGTTTAGAAGAGTTTAATTATCATAAATGTTTTGTTTTAGTCATTTTCTATTGTTAATAGAAATAGGAATTTATATTAAGATTTGAGGGGGTTAATTGAATTTATATTAATATAAATAATTCATCATTAGGGTATTATAAGACAAATAAGAATTTTCTGAGAGGTTAAATGTGGCCTCAAAATTATAATTTCAGATAAAAATTTGTTTTACTAAACTTTCAAGAATGGAAATGTTTATTTAATATTTACGTAAATAATATTATTGTTTCAAATATTACTTGTCAAAGTAATGTATAAGGTCAAGTTAATCTTCGAGTATTTATGAGAGTTACCAAGTTGTTATAAAGATAACACTACAAGATATCAAAATATTTCATCTTAAGACAATAAATCGCACAAGTTTTTAAATGCTGTTTTGATAGAATTAAGGTCTTTTGAGCCACTTCTCTTATTCCAAACTGAATATGTTAAAAAAAAACGAGTATAAAAACTGTTTAGGAAAAAGAAAATTAAATTAAGGATATCAATATAGTTTCCAGCAATTAAAAAAAAGCATTTTAATATTCATTATGTGATATACAACATTAAATAACCGTGTGGAGAGATACAAAATAACCTACCTATAAAGAACAGGAATAGCCTTTACATATTCTGCATTTTTACATATACTGCATTTTTTTTAATAATAGTTTTACTCCTTATTTATGTATTGGTCTTAGTTAATTTTTAAAACTTAAATAAGACCAATGTTTGAAAAGTTTTCAGTTACTTTTAAACCAAAGTTCATCTGTTTTTAATACAGGAAACTGGAGATTTCAAATAGTCAACATCCTAATATCTATATTGCATTTGAGTTTTACTTGCAATGTATGACGGGGGCTTGAAAAGATATCGCATGAAACAATTTTTTCAAGGTTCTAAAAGTTAGGCAAACATTTTTTGCCTATGATCAGGAGAAAATAGCGTCCTTGCTTTTAATCAAAAGAAAATAAAGTTCTTGCTTGTGATCATGAGAAAATAACATCATTAATTATGATCAGGAGAAAATGGCGTTGTTAATTGTGATCAAGAGAAAATGACGTTGAAGATCAATATGTAAGTAAAGTTTTAATATGGTTGAAATTTTACAAATGTATTGACTAACAGTATTAGCAGCGTCAGTTAACAATAATGAGTAAAACTAGTTTAATTATTTACTAATAGTTTGATAACTATTTTACGTTGTTTTAGAAAAGAAGTGATTGTGCTGTTATAAAGGTTTGCATAATTTTTTATTCAATTACATTGGATAGTTCTAAGTTAGTTTTAGATAAGTGAATAGTCTTTTGCAACAGTTATTTAAATTATTATTATTGAAACTAATAAACGACATTAAAACTTCGATTTTTTATACGATTTTAAATCAATAAGAAATATTGTTTCCTATTTTATGTTAAAATTTAATTAATAAGTATATATTTTGTGATAAAAATGCAGTTGCATAGAAATATATATAACTTTAATAATATGACCTTTTCAAACCTGTTAGTCGATGCTTATGAACTTATTTACTTTCATCTTTATGTGTATATAAATGAGCATTGAGGTATGTACATACCTAATCTGCACAGTTCCACATATAAATTGATGTGTCTTAGTCTGTAATATGGTTCCGTTTAATTGCTTATAGTTCCATGCTGAACTCATTTTAATCACTAACAAAAAACAAATTCATTTCAAATTCAAAAAAGTTAACGATGTTTCAGTTTAATAATCAATAAGCAATTAACCGAAATAACATACATGTAGATTTGACTGATAGTACTTGATGTATATGCTTGATGTAATACTTAACCCTATTTTTATCCCTTACTTTAACATTTTGGTTAGAAAAGCTAAATAAACTATCAAGTAAACATTAAAATGTTAAATACACATTTTTTACTTAAGTTGCATACCTGGTGATATTGGTCTTTCAATTGTTGTTGAGATTGTTTGTTGATTAACTTTAAAGACAGGATCTTCGCCACCATAAATCCAACTTGAATACACAGCAATAGACACATTTGCTTTTGCAGTAGAGATATTTACACCGTAAACTGCTATGGCAGCTACATAAGAGTCTTCTAAAATTTCATTTATCTAAAATAAAATAAAAGATTCTTTCGTCAATTTTAAAACGTAAACTTTACAAAAAAATAAAATAGGTATCCCCCCCCCCCCTCATGTTTTTGCCTCCACGGAAAATGTTTTCCGTGTGTACCGAATATACAGTCTGAGAGATTACAACATTTCTTTTCTATCTTTGTTACAACATTTCTTTTTTATCCTGTTATAAATATTTCCCTAATGAATTTATTGCTAAAATTTTTTTGATGAAATATTCAAAGATATTTTAAACCTAATTATTTTTAAATCGCATTTCTAAACGCTAATTATTACCTATATCCAGCAGCAGTATTGGAATTAGTATAAAGTATTGGAATTATATATAAAGTTCGACATATTTTATATAAACAACAATTAAAACAACTATATTTTTCGTTTATCCACTGCCATTTAGATTATGCAAATATTGTATGGGAAAACGCGCACAAAACTAAACTTAAATCTCTTTATCAGCATCAGAAACACGTAGCTCGCTTAATTAATTTTGCTAATCGTTTTTCAAATTCAAAACCACTTCTAAGAGAAATGATTTAGGCAAAAGCTAACATAAGCTGCAGCCTATTGGAGACAGGAAGCCCTGGGGCCTCGTGTCTCCCAAGAAAAAAGAAAAAGAAAAAAGAAAGAAAAAAGAAAGAAAAAAATGAAAAAGAAAATAAAAATAATAAAGAAAAAGTAAAGTCATCAAAAGCTTCAGTTTTTTTTTTACTTTTTTACGGTTTCATCCGAATTAATTTGTCTAATTGTTATGCAAATGTTTAGTATTCGAAACTCGAACACTACTTATCATTATTTAGTAAATAAATAAATAATCAAGAAACACAAGTTATTGATTTTTTGTACATTGACATGTTACAAATATTTCATGATATTTCTACATCAATCAAATTCAATGATGTGCGTTACAGAGCGAAAGCTCTTTTAGATTCATTGACAAGTTTTAAATCTATTTTGACGGCACAATTGTTTTTAAAAGTATTTGAGCACACAACGCTATTGTCTGAATATTTGCAAACAACTAGAATGGATATACTAAGAGCCTAGAAGATAGTTTAAGACTATCTTCTAGGCTCTACTATAAGTATTAATGAATGAAGCAAATTAGATTGAAATTTTGATTTCATTTTTTAAGCAGCTACAAATTTCTCAGAACTTTCAAACACTAAACTGGGAAAAAGGAATCTCAAAATTGAAGTTTAGACTGGTTTAAAAGAGAAAAAAATAAAAGCAAACCAACTACTTAAAAGTGCGAATAATAAATTTCGTGTCAATGTTCACAACATAGTAATGGATCAAGTAATCAGTAGTTTAAAACAGATATTCTCAGAGCATTTTTTAAATTGAAATATATTTTGAACAGGTTAAGAAACTTGATGAGTCAGTTAAGTTTACAATCAATCATGCTGATGTCTTGTGAAAAGGTCCTTCTTCCAAGAATTAATAACGATGTAATCATTAATTTTTTGGCATCGACTAATCAAACGATGAAAAAGTTGCTATAATAACCAATATTGAATAGCGGTTGTGTCGACTATTTCTACTATTTCTAGACTCCAACTTACAGCAGTGTTTTAGAAATATTTATTTTTATCAATATTAAGGATGGGAAGTTTAAAATTTATTTTTTATACTTTAAAAAATTATAATAAGCAATAATGCACCTAAAAACGAAAAGGTCCTTCACTAATAATATAGGTAAATTTTACATTAACCATCCCATTGGGAAAAAAGATATCTTTAGACGAATAAAAGACGTTTTTTTTATGACTTGTTATGTCTTTTTATAATCAGCCTAAATAAAGACGTGGAAAACACGTCTTTTAAAAAGACGTCTTCAAAAAAGAGGTCGAAAAGACGTCAATCGGTTGTACGTCTTTAATAATACGTAGAAAAGACGTCTTTTATATCGATGACCTTTAAAAATAAGAAATAAGAAAATTTTCGTTTCAATGCTAAATTAAATAACACCCAGTAGAATTAGTAAATAAAATAGTAAATTTTTTTTTTAGGGAGGGGGAGGGAAAAATTCACTAATGTTTCCCACTGGGAAATAACTTAAGTTGTTAATAAGCAAATCATAATTTGCTTATTATATCTATAATAAACAAATTATTATTTGCTTATAAACAACTTTCTACCAACCAAGCTAAACATTTGCACCTCTCAAATTTGTTAACAAACTTTAAGAAATTTAAGAGGCGCAAATGTTTAGCTTGGTTTAAGTACTACATAATAAATTACATCGTTGTACAATAATTTTGATGGTCGTAAATTTCTTTAGCACACTCATTTTTATATATTTTAGACTGTTTACTCATGTCCCAATCTAAGCTAGTGATTCAAAAAGAAAGGACCGCGCTGGAAACATGAAAGGGTTAAAAGGATTAGCCCTTTTTGGATTACTAGTCGGAAAGTTTAATGTGTTTCACTCAGCTAATCAAGTTTCATTTTCTTTTTTGTATTACATTCAAGCAATAGACTGTTTCTTATGTTCACTCGTTTTTTAGAAGTCGTAACCAGCTCGTATGAAAGAATTTCTCGACGTGAAATAGTTAATTTTACTTAACAACGCCAAGAAACAGAGCTCAATCAAGAAACAGAAAAGAGAGAGAAAGATGAAAAAATATTCTGTTGAACAATACTGTTGTTTTATTTACAAATTATTCTCCTATGTTTAAACATATGAAAGATGTAGAAAATGCTTCCTCTTTTATATTGACATCTAAAAGAGGTTTTTTCTTGACATCGGAAAGAGCTTTTTGTCATACTTTGTATGAAGAGCTATTACCATTTTCATTTGATAAAAACAGCTTTTCATATATGAAGAATAGGAATACAATAGTGTATAGGATACTATAGTATACTAAAAAGTATAACAAAAAAGTTGTTCTGACCCCGAGAAAAAACACTTTTTTAGAAGTGCTTAATTGATAAACAAAGACGTCTTAAAAACGCATTTTTTATGTCTTTTCATAATATGATAAAGACAAAAAAGACGCCTTTTCGATGTTGAAAAATTAACTTATTTTTCTTTATCAATAATACTGTTAAAAGTCTGTAAAAAGCATCCACTTTATATTATGTGATATTTAATCCTTCATTCAAGGAAGTAAGATCATTACTTACTTGAATGAAGTATTTATTCATCAACAATGCAGCTTTTGGAAAACTATTGTTTAGATATTTTGTTGGTAATGCAGAAAAAGCTTTTGCATTTAATTATGTTTGTATAGTTTTGTCTCTAGCAATCAAATTAATTCAATACAAAAAGGTTTGGATGGCCGTACTAGTATAGATGAAAGAAATAATAAAATATTTAGATTTAGAAATTAGTATTTAATTTTGCTTTCACTTCGATTTTCAACTTATATTAATCTAATTATATTACCAATAACTGCTGATTTAGTTTCTTATCTTGAATTTAAACAAAATGCAAAAAGCATCTAAATCTTAAATATTCTTTTCCATAAATCATAAAAATTCTTTGCCATAAATTATAAAGATTCTTTTCCATAAATTTTGAAGATTCTTTGCCATAAACCTTGAAGATTTTTTGCCATATATTATAAACATTCTTTTCCATATATCTTAGAAAATCTATTCCGTAAATCTTAAAGATTCTTTGCCATAAATTATAAAGATTCTTTTTCATTAATCTTAAAGATTCTTTGCCATAAATCTTAAAGATTCTTGGCCATAAATCATAAAGATTCTTTGTCATAAATTATAAAGATTATTTTCCATAAATCTTAAAAATTCTATTCCATAAATCATAAAGATTCTTTGCCATAAATTATAAAGATTCTTTTCCATTATTCCTTAAGATTTTTTGCCATAAAACTTGAAGGTTTTTTGCCATAAATCTTAAAGATTCTTTGCCATAAATCTTAAAGATTCTTTGCCATAAATTATAAAGATTCTTTTCCATAAATCTTAAAAATTCTTTGCCATAAATCTTAAAGATTCTTTGCCATACATCTTAAAGGTTTAAATTTTTTAGCAAAGGAAAAAAGATTTAGCATCTAAATATTTTTTTCTTTGCCATAATTGCTTTCCTATTAAACATATTTCAAAATGAAATGTTCATGATAAAATTATAACAGTGATTGTAGTATTGCACTTTATTACCTAAATATTTTTTTAAATTTGTTTTTCATATATAGATACGCTTTTTAACACTTCTAACATTTTTTAATAAACAGTTTAAAATACATATTGTCTGTGGGATCAGAAAGTTATAATGCCTGCAAAAAAATTAGAAAATAATTAGAGAAATTTGGTTGAATTTTAGAGAAATTAAGTAAAATGGTTCTGCAGCAACTTACGCAAATTGTTGAATAATTAAAAAATATATAAATAAAAGAATTAATGAAATGAGCAGCGTTATGATATTACCTCAAACAGTTTCAGTAAAATGAAAACTAATGTAAAAGATGGTTGTTTTTTAACCAATTATAGTGTCGTTTTAGTCAAAGAATATTTAGGAGGAGAATATTTAGTTGCGATTGTTACTGTTTCTGTTTTTTTTTAAAAAGAACTGTTCTATTACACAATATAGGCAAGGTAAATAACAAAGGCGATATTGTTTATTGGTCACCTTTTTTTATTTTAATTTTGTTTAATTCAGCTTTATTGTTTTTTTTTTTTAATGTCATTCAACTATAATAGGTTGGTAGCAATTGGATTAATGCTAATCCAATGCTGTATTGACATCTTGTGCCCACGGGGTATTATGTAATTGTCACTTTTAATGCATAAAAATAATGTATATATAAAATTATGTTTGGAATTTGTAAACAAATTATGTATAGTTAAACTAAGTTTCACAAACTTTTTTATTTTATAAGTTAAAAAATAAATAATCTAGATATAAATTTAGTTTATGTTTTTTCTTTCTTGGTACTCCGGTGATAGAAAGCTTTCCGTACCCGCCTACATTCTTTTTGTAGCCTAGGCTACCAAAAGAAAATGTTGAATGATTAATAGAAGACAATTTAAATAGAGGCTAAATGTTAAAAAAGGTTATTTTTGTAAAATCTTCTTAATATTGAATATGTGTTTTAAGTTATGATTGTATTTTTTTGTATTCAAAATGTCTTTATAATGCTATTATAAATGAAATGATAAACATGTCTTTTTAGTAATATTCGATAAATTTTGCAATTTAAAGCATCAAATAATTACAAAATTTAAGTAGAAGTTATTTTTCCTTCTTAAAAACTAAATTTCATCCAAATGTAACTCTTTGACTCTTTTAAATCAGTATTTCTTATTTACTTTTTTACAACTCATTAAAATTAATTATAAAAAGTTAAATGTAAAATAATGGTTTAAGAAATACATGATTTGATAATGTCAAACCGTTACATACAAGCGGAAAAAGCTCCATAAATAAGTGCATCGATTACAGGTTCAAAAACCGTTTTTTGAACGTTTATTAAAACAATTTCATCCTTTAGACAAAAAAAGCACCTAAAACAAACGTTCCCAATACACGTTTAAAAAACGTTTTCTAAAAGTTTATTAAAACTGTCCATTACCGCTTTCTTTAAACTGAAAAGGCACCTAAAAAACGTTTTCTGAATATTAATGTGCTCAATATGTCTTTAACACATATTATAAACTGTTAAAATCATAAATCTAACAAATTTTAAATTAAAAGTTAATAATGACAAAATAAAAAAACTACAAAACGTATATTTTTGGTTAAAAGCCTTACATGAACAACAGATAATTTACTATTTTTCTCCACAAATGAGTTATCTGTCTTGATACCATCCCAAACAAAAGATTTTAAGGTTAACATTGATTCTGATTGCAGATATAAAGTTACATTCCGGATGGAGCATATACAGTCTGTTGTCATATTTATGCAAAGATTTATTTCATTGCTAAGGAAAAAGTGATTTGGTAATAAAAAATAATAATAGTTTAATTTTTCCTATCTGTGCAAATTATTTTGCTGTTTATAAAAGTTAAGGAGTGTCAAATTTACTAATCGGGCAAAAACATATATGGAGGTAAACACACTTTATTATATTTTCTAATGGTTGTGGATCTGATCATGGAACGTTTTTTACAAAAAGCGGTCAGAAAAGCAATGTTGTTTTGATTTTCATGCAGTGTGCAAAAAATATATATAAATCTTTTTATGTACTGTGAAAAATATACAAGAATCTTTGTTGGAAGCTTTTTACTTTCGAACTACGTTCGAACACAAAAATAACATTTTTACAAGTAAACAAAAAACAGAAAAAACTTGAAAAAAATAGCCTATAAATTGGACATAAGAGCAAATAAATAAAACAAAATATTTAAATATAAATACAAGCCTTCACTTTTTTTGAGAATTTTTTTTTTTTTGCGGAAAATAATTATTTTATCAATTAGAGAAATAATAGAACCTTCCCAGCTAGCACACTTACGTTAAGCCAACGTATGTAAAACCATCGCGAATGTCGGCTCTTTTTTCCAATGCAAAACCAACGTTGATCCAATGTCATTTGGTTAATGATAAAATTAATACCGACGGAACTAAAAACATCTCGCATATTTACATTGGTCCAATGTATGTAAAAACATCGCAAAAAGTTGATTGTTTTTACGATCTAAACCCAATGTTGATCCAATGTATATAAATATATTTCGACGTTAATTCAATGTATATAAAATCAACTTTTTTACAATGTATGTAAAAACATTTAAAAAAAATGGTTTGTTTTTACTATTTAAACCTAACGTACGTCGGGTTTAGATCTACTAATCAACGTTGATCGAATGTATAATTTGATTGAAACAATTTGGTTGTTTTTACGATCTTAACCTAACGTTGATCCAATGTATATATCTCGACATTGATTCGTTAAATAAAAATCAACGTTTTTCCAATGTATATAAAAACATCGCAAAAAGTTGATTGCTTTTATTATCTAAACCCAACATTGATCCAATGTATATATTTCGACGTTGATTCAATGTATATAATTCAACGTTGATCCAATGTATGAAAAAACATCGCAAAAAGTTGATTGTTTTTACGAACTAAACCCAACGTTGATCCGATATATACGACCAAACATTGCTATTGCGAAGTTATATAACTTAAATAAAATCTTCCGTGGTTATTAAAATATCAAACCACAATCAATACAAACATGATTTTTGATCCTAAAATCAAGCGTATTTATTAAGAGAATAGAATTTATCCCCGAATTAAATTAAATGTAATGTTTTGCCAACGTTATAACAACGTAAAACACAACGTTGGGCCAACGTATAAAATAAAACATTGAATCAACGAAGAAAATATAACTATTTTCCGACTTTAAATAAACGTTTTATCAACATTGGTTTTTAGTTGTTGGCAACATCTCATTTGTAACCATAATGATATAAAAACAACGTTGGCAGGCGATGTTGGGCCAACGAAACGCGCGACATTGTTCTAATGTTTTGACAACGTATGTGTGCTAGCTGGGAACGTTCATCCAATGCAAGCGACCAAACATTGCTATTGCGAAATTATATATTTTAAATAAAATCTTCCGTGATTATTAAAATATCAAACAATAATCACAAACATGATTTTTGTTCAGATGATCAAGCGTTGTTATCCTTTTTTTTAATAATATTGTTGATGTTTTATATAATATTAAGTAAAGAAAATAGAATTAAATAAAAATTTAATTCCGAATAATATTGAATACAACGTTTTGTCAATTAAAGTTCAACGTTGAATCAACGTAAATACAACGTTGAACAAACTTAAAATACAGCGTTGGGCGAACGTATAAAATAAAACGTTGAATCAATGTAGAAAGTATAACCATTTTCCGACTTTAATTAAACGTTTTATCGCAATTGGTTTTTATTTGTTGGCGACGTCGCATTTGTAACCATTATGTTATAAAAACAACGTTGGGAGCTGATGTTAGGCCAACGAAACGGGCGCCATTGTTCTAATATTTTAACAATGTATGTGTGCTAGCTGGGAACATATAAAAACAGTGTGAGTACCAAAACCTTAAATAAAACTAATCAATAGAAAATATGTCAAAAATGATTTTAAAAAAGG